TCAGACTGACCCAGCCGACTGAACTGCCTGCTGCACTCCTCACACTGTATGGTTTCTCTCCTGTGTGAAGCCGCATGTGAGTCTTCAAATTATCCAGCTGACTGAACTGCCTGCCGCAATCCTCACATCTATAGGGTTTCTCACCTGTGTGAATCCGCATGTGTTTCTTCAGAGTCCCAAGCTCAGTGAATTGCCTGCTGCACTCCTCACATCTGTAGGGTTTTTCACCTGTGTGAGTCCGCATGTGCCTCTTCAGAGTCCCAAGCTCAGTGAATTGCCTGCTGCACTCCTCACATCTGTAGGGTTTTTCACCAGTGTGAGTCCGCATGTGAGTCGTCAGATTTTCCAGCCGACTGAACTTCTTTCCACACTCATCACACCTGTAGGGTTTCTCACCCGTGTGAATCCGCATGTGTGTCTTCATAGCACTAAGACAACTGAACTGCTTGGCACACTCCTCACACACTTTCACACTTTTGTCCTGCCTCTCAGTCTCAGTTTCCTCTCCAGACTCCTCACAACTTCCTCCTTGCCAAGTGGAAACGTTGTTGACAGAACCCCCTGCGGATCCGCTCATGGTGTCATCCAAACCTTCTCTGCTGCCTGTTGTCGCCATGTCGACAAGAGCTGGATTAACCTCTGTTCAAAAAATGGAACAAACGATCTATGAAACATGCTGAAATATTTAACCCGGTATACTCACTCTCCAATCAGTTTGGGGTTTTGGGTTGATTTAAATTTACTTTTTTTAGCGGGGTTTCTTTATTGCACTGGATTTTTGAACCCAACCAACAAATGTCAGTGTAAAAAAGAAACCCCGATAAAAAGCCTACAAACATGCCAAAAATAACCCAAAACCCGAACTTTGTTTGGAGAGTAGTAGTACTATGTATAGTTGACTATTATATAGTATTATAGCGCGTGTAAACAAATGTTCATCGGCCTTCATCGTCTGTAAAAAGTAACTAAAAAACAATTAGCAGAAATACCGCTGATACACTATGAAAGACGGACAAATAGTGAGCTGTATTTACTGTATGTATTAATGTTACTGATGCTATGCAGGGTCTTTGACTTGAGAGTAACATTGCAACAGTTAATGAACTGTCCCTTGGCCTACATACTTTTCATGGCGCAATAGTCTGGGCTTCGGCTTTTTTTTACGTGTTTGTAGGCGTTCGTTTTGTATATTTTGCCACCCATACTTAAGTTGCGTATGCAACTGCCAATAATACTGTCATGCCAATTTAATAATAAGCAAATGTTTTTCTGTGCTTCGCTAAGAGATTTAAAGTTAATCACAGCCTCCCATCATTAATGAACCGTCCCGTTGTTTTCACACTCTCCCGTCTGGCGTCAGGGCGGGATGGAATCCAGATGTGAGAATTTGTCGGGGCTCGCGTAGGGGTTTACAGTATACCCAGGTTTAGCTTAGACTTAGATGAACGCTCTCCTCATTACCAACACCAGAATCCCTTCATAACAGTGGATTTTATTTTCGGTCCGTACAATTGCATACTACATTGCGAGAGTATTTTTGCTTATTTTTTTCATGACACACAACACAATCTGGTAACCCCTTACCGACTCTCACTGGTTATGTTATCAACTTTCAGGCGGCACCCCCTTACTTCGATACAATAATTTGAGAGCCAAACATCCAAACGTAGAATCTAGGAATCTCTCAGATAATTCCACATCCACACTACGACTTTTCTTTGCGTAGCTCCACCAAATCAAGTATTTGAAGCTCCATGACACACTGGCCCAAACTCACGCCGCCACAAAATTATCATGAACCGTTGTTTGCAACTCTAAGGAGATCTGAATACCAACTACATGCCGAGTTTTCCTACCTGTAAGTTAGTTGATAGACAGTCCGTGCCGAGTCGCCTTTAGAATCACTGCAAAACTCCTCCAAAGACGGAAAACTGCTGAAGATGCCGCGTCCTTGCGGGACAGGAAGACGCGATGCCGTGACCCGGAAGTACTCCTAGTCCTTAGGTCAAGTCTCGTTACCTGATTACCCAACAAATGTACACGGGCCTCGGCACAAAGGCTAGTAATCGGGCATAATTTTTGACAGAAAAAAGGCACCAATTTTCATCTATCCGAGTTTGAGGCCAACAGAAATAAATATTCACAGCGTGATCTACCTTCTAAATCGTCCATTTAGTCCAGAATGTCCGGATTTTATACGGCAAAAAGGTGTTTAGAATACAATAAAAACATACGTGACCTTTGACTCCACCGCACACCTTATGACAGCATGCAAACATATATCTTGTTTACCCGGTAATATACATAAAATCGTTACTTATGTTATAAATGGGGGGAAAACATACAAAAACCCTGCCGGTGACCTGTAACAGAAAACCCTTACTTAAATTGCTTACCATATCGATGAAATTGATATCACTACAGGTAGATTGAGTCTTAAATTATGAATAAACATTTCTTTCTTTCTTTGTGGCGATGCTGCCGTTAAGTCCACCCAACCAACCAACCATCCAACCATCCAACAAACCAACCAACCATCCATCCAACCAACCAACCAACCAACCAACCAACCAACCACCAAACAACAGACCAACCAACCAATCTATCAACCAACCAATCAACCAACCAACCAACCAACCAACCAACCAACCAACCAACCAACCAACCAACCAACCAACCAACCATCTAACCACTTACCAACCAACCAATCAACCAACCAACCAAATTAACCAACCAACCAATCAATCAATCAATCAATCAATCAACCAAGCAGACCAACGAACCAACCAATTTATACCCATTTCAAATAAATCAATTTTTATTTCAAACCAACGTTAAAACAAAGTACATCCCGGAAATACATAATGGGAACTTTGCATGTACATGTCATACAATTAATGTACCACAATTCATGCAATTTTTAAGGACATAACTCTACTTCAAAGGTTAGATCATGTAAATGGGTGTTATATTCTCTGATATGTAAAATTTCTCAATTTTACTTAAATCTGAAATGTGACCATCGGATAACATAAACTACCAAAAAAAAACGTGAATGCTTCCAGTTGTAGAAGTACTGATCGCTTAAGTCTTACTTACGCAACTATAGACGGGATGTCATCCTTCAATTCATTTATACAATAAATACATCTGCCACAGTGCTATACACAATACATTACGTTTTTTTTTTTCAATACATGTGGGTGCTAGCCGTAATAATATTATTATGCCAGGGAAGTGACCGAGAGAGCATACCAAACTTAAAGGCATCCAGTGCAGTGTTTAGCTTTTAGTTTTTAGGGCTTGGAAACCCGATTTTTCAAAGCCAATATTCTAGTAATTTATCTACATAGTGAGTTGAAACCACACTGCCCCAATGTATATTGACCCTCATGGAGCAAAAAATTCCCAAAAATCTGACGGAAAATGGTTACTGAAAGGGCCCTGGGCTGATTTTAGGGTACCACGCCGAAAATAAAGGACTCATCTTGGGGCTTGTTTCTGCAGTTTCAAATACCCAAAGTATGAAATGCTGATTCAAATGCGCTAATGTGAAGCAGTATGTGTCACTATCATAAAGATTACTTAATTGTATTTCCAGTTTTGCCCCTCTGAAATCACAGTGGATGCCTCTAAGTGGTTTGCCTCCAAGTTAGTCATCCTCAGCATGCTGGATGACAATCTTTACTTCACACTGAGGAGTAGAGCTAGTACTGGGCTTGTCCAGGTTGTAGCGACGGCGTGAAGGCATGAAGGAGTCACAGATGTCCAGACTTTCATCAAGTTGCTCCTGGATGACTCGCAGGTTTTCCTGCAGCTTTTCCAGCTTCAGCTCACCTGTGCAAAATGAATTTTTATTCACATATATTTATTGAGTATTGGGCAAAAAGCACAAGTTTATATAATATATATATATTGCTTATATAACACCTTCTACTCAAAACATACAACGAGTTCAAAACACATTGACAAGATACATGCATAATTACGAGTAGGGTAAAACCAAGATAAATACAAACAAGACAAGTTGGTGATCTATCAATTACGAGAATCTTTTTTGGTAGTCCTTCGTCATCGAATGACGAGAATACGAGAATCTACCCGTACAGTAAATAAAGTTTTGAACTACATCGAAAACATTACAGTTTTGTAGGTGTGAAAGTGATATTGGAAGGAGGTCTTAAAAATATGATAACAGGAATTTTGTAACGACAAGGTTGTTTTGCAGCTGTGTGTTATGAAATAACCCTAAACAGTCATTTCAAGCTACAATGAATTTCTCCGCATGTTTTAATACAGAAATTTGCAGACTGAAGCATTGCCAATATAAGTGGCAATGATTATCTCATTTCAATGCAGTAAAAACATTATAAGGACCGTATCACTGTTTCAATGAAATGTCATTGCAAATTTTGATTTTCACATATCCCATGAAGTACTCAGTGTCTCGATCTTCCAGCCATGACCTACATAAAGATGAAATGTAATAGATGAAGCATTACTTAATCTCAAAGCAGATCGCACTGTGGCAAGACAGTATCCATTGGCCAGAACGGACACTCCTCTGGCCAATAAGCCTATTCGCCATTACTAGTGCGCCTGCGCGGAGTTTACTTAGCGACGAAGAATTGGAGATAAACAAACCCGCGGCCGCAATCGTCCCCAGCGCCAGCGTATGTCTCGATTTCCAGCTTACACACGGCGTTACCGGTGGTGGCCCGCCTTGGGCTGAGTTCCAACGATGTTCTGGACCTATCTTGCCTAAAATATCGCGATATCTTTATCTTCAAGTGGATTTACGGTACGTTTTTTGACGGTATCCAAGCTAGCGCTAGCGCCTAATTAGTTATGCATGCCCCCCTCCCCCATCCTGCACGCCTTCCGTCTTCACGTTTTCCGCTCAATTTTCCGGTCCAATCTCGATAAAACGAGT